TTTATATATACAAAATAGGATAGATATACAGCTACTTTCGCTTAATTCAATGAGAAGAAAGAGGTGTACTAATAGTGTTTGGACAGGATATCCTGTCTGCTTCTTGTACTATGGATAACCACTAAGAAGATAACAATGTACAATGTATTGATTATCGAAACTGTCCTATTAATCAGCTTTGAAACTGTCTTACTCATATTTGTTTCTTAGTAAAATTTTTAAAAAAAGAGAAAGAAAACTCGCAGTAAAAATCACTAGAATAAAGAAATTCAATAAGAGATTGTTTATGTGCTCTGTGTATTTATGTTTGTATATCTTTCAATGAATAGCTCTTGCTCTTCTTTCTTTTTTGATGATTTGTTCTAAATATAATTTGAGATATAGACTTAAAAGCATGCTTCTTCCTAAATTGCCAGATAGTCAAAGTGATATTGAAATTGATTTACACACAGCATATCATAAGGTTTAAGCTAACTAAACAAAAAGTCCCTAGAGTGGGAAAAAATAATTACAGCAGAGTCCAATTAATGAATAAGAGGCGTGGCCAACCTTTTCCTTCATTAATGAGGAGCTCCAAATAATCTCAATAGTCTCTTAGGAGACACCCTGACTAAATTAGTGATTAGTTAAAAGATATAGTTTTTCCAAAAAATTTATCATAAGGTTTTCTCTTAAAAAAATTGTTTTGATACAAAATTAAATCTTAAAACAAAGGTTTTCATGTGTGTATGGTAATTTGTTATTGTCACTCTCAAATTATATTAAGTGTATGTATGTTTCTAGGTGAACAGGTCTTTCAAAATGTAAAACAAAGATTGCTTATTGTAATGAGACTTTTTCTCAGATCCAAACTTCTGCCTTTAAAAAACTTGTGATGCACATCCCATTTAAGGATGACTAATTAGATTTAAAAATTTTGAGGGGCAGCCAAATAGCTCAGTGGATTAAAGCACCTGCAAGCAGGCAGAGGGGACCGGGGTTCAATCTCTGGGCCTGCTGTGTCAGCCCCGCCCCTGGGGCATGCTGAGACGGTAATTGAAACTGGCCATGGGGGCACGTTCCTGTAATCTCAGTTCTTGGGAGGCTGTAAACAGGAAGATCACTATGAGTCCGATCTAGCAGTGAGATCCTGAACACCCTGTAAAGCCTTCCCTAAAAATAAAATAAAATAAAATTTAAAATTGCATATATTTAAAAAAAAGAATAGTTCTTGCTATGTAACTTAGGCTGGCCTCCAACTTTCAGCAATCCTTTTGCATCGGCCTCCTGAGTGCTGGAATTGCAGGCTTATGCCACCATGCCTAAAGAGGTTATTTGATTTTATTGTTAGTTTTTTGTTGTTGTTTTGGTAGTGGGAATTGAACTCTGAGCCTTGAGCTTGCCAGGCAGGTGTTGTGCCACTGAGTTACACCCCAGTCCCAGTGATTTGATTTTTAAAATTTAAATTTTACTCATGGATTAGCTTTCCATCTTTCTAAAACTCTGGCACAGTCAAATAACTTCATAAAAACCACTAAGGCCAGCTGGGGAGACAACTCAGCAGTCTAAGTGCCTGCCTGGTAAGCACAGGGACTCGTGTTTGATCCCCAGTACAGCATGCCATTCTGAGCGCACTGTGCTGGCCCTGAAACCTGGCATGGTAGTGCACTCCTATAGTCCCAGCGCTGGGGAGGCTGAGACAGGAGGATCACTACGAATCTGAACTGCATTGTGAGACTTGTAACCAATAAATAACTAAGTTTAAAAAAAAAAAAAAAACACCAAGGCCAGAGTTAATTATACCTTTCCACCATGAAAGACAAATTTTTTTCAACACATTGTCTGGTGAGTAAATATACAGATGCTACCACTATACTTTTCCTCAGGCACTACTCTTACCATGCCACCTCCCTGCTCAAAAAGCTTCATCCTATCACTTTCTCTCTTGTTTAATATACATGTATTTTTCACCTCTTAGGCTGAAAGTGATAGGTAACCTGGAGTTCTTACTATGGGTTACACACAAAGATAACCCTTACCCATATGAACTCATTTACATCTCACATCAGCTTTAAGTGTCCCCATTTCACAGGTAGTGTATATATAGGAGTAATCTTAGATCACCTAGCAAGTAAATGAAGCAAGTAAATTTAGCCCCCCAAATTCATACTCTTAGACACTATTGTATCTGAAGATATGAGATTACAATTTCTATTTTGCCTTTATATAAGTAGAGGTGCTAAATAAAGTTTTGTTGAGGTAAGTTAGTAAGCCAACCAAATTTTAACTACTTGGGGCATTATATATGAAAATCCTGTCTGTTCGAGAAACATCACACAAAATCATTAAAATTGTGACCGCTCACACATATGCCCTTGAATTAAGTACAATAAAGGATATGGACACTGCCTTTAAAGAGTTAAACAGGCACTGAGAATTAATCAGTTAAATATACTTCATTGTAGTCGTAAGACATGGTTGATGAAACAAAGCAAAATTAAACAAAACTCAAAAAAAAAAAACCACTCAGCTTTTTCTGTCTGGAAAGCCTTTGACATCTGTTTTCCCAATAACTACACCAAATATTTTCTGAAAAACAAAAGCGTATAGAAGACCAGTATTAAACACAGATGTAGATGGCAAATTTAATTTCATGGATTTGTTATATTTTACTGGCTCTAACAAACATTTTTGACTCAGAGATGTTTAAATGTATTTATGTCAGGCAAACATCTAAAAGAACTTCATAAATACTCAGTTCCATAAAGACTAGTACAAAGTAATAAGACAATTAACTGCTATTGAAAATATAATTATTTAATATCTAGTATGTTTTTACTTATTTTCAGTCACTAGATGGAGCATATTAACTGCCCTATGCTTTCATTCTTTACTGATTTCATCCAAAGCACATGTACAGTGCAATTTAGTTTTCAATGGTTTTCAAAGATTGCTTTTACATAGGGTTTCCTAACATAAAATTGCTTAACTTCTTAATCAACATGCTGGACAGTAATATAAATTAGACTGTAAAAAACAAATATTGTTGCTAATAGATCTAAATTCTAAGGTCTTGGTACCTTCAAGGTAATAAAATTTCCTTAAAACTTTATTGTTCTTGGGGCTGGTGAGATGGCTCAGTGGTCTAAAGAACCTACTTAGTACAAGTTTAGCAAAGCACAGGGACCACAGTTCAATCCCCAGCACCACATGCCAGCCAGCCCCGCCCCCTGGTGGGCTGAGC